ACTCTTTCCTGCCTATGCAAGGGGTCGGACTCGATGATCTATTGAAGTCCCTTCCGACCCTAACATCTATGAATCTATGAACCTGATCTTGCAAAAGTGTAGGGAGAAAGTGTTTGGTGCTGAAGTTAGAAGGCTGTCCCTCTGGGTCAATGAGAGGGACCCAGAGGGACCCATGGACCCAGAGGGACCGCCTTCCATCTTCAGCTCCCTCTGTGCAAAAATGAAGTTTGTTTCCTCCCTATGGAGAATTTTTACCATCTTGTACCATCTATACTTTTCCCAGAGCCTGACGCAAGGACTTTGATCCCAAAAGCTTGCAGAAAAGGACAAATTTCTTGCGATTTCCCAGTTGGTCTAATAAAAGGTATCATTTTGGAACCAAGTGTTCTAGTTTTTTGTACATCTTCAAATCAATCTGGAAATTTTAAAGCAGGGAAGATATTTTCTAGCAGAAATCTGCAGATCTTTATTTACTAGAGACAGAACCGGATATCAGGCAGTTGGACAATGTTTTCTCTCATGATACTAGTTAGCTTGAGGACCCAGTTGTGATAGTTCAGCTGCCATGGATCTGAAGAGGTCTTATCAGTCAGAAACCCTGGGCTCCAAGAAGACAGCGCATAGTAGGGTATGATTAGAAGCAACAACAATTTAAATATACCAGGCAGGCTTGAATTTGCTAATCCTTATGCTGCTTCCATTTCCTCCTTTTCTGACTGTGTTTTTTAGAGAGATTCAAAAAGGGATTCTAAAGGCCTCAAATACCCAAGTACTCAATTTGCAAATGAAGACTTCAAAGGCCCAAAAGCTCCAGAGGCTTGAATCTTAGCATCTCCAATTGTTAGAGCTGGATCTGAGAATATTTACTTAGACATAACTTCACAAGGCAGTGTGCAATTCGCACCCAGATCATATTCTATATCAGATCTCTATTCACATTCAGGCACCCCCAATACATCCTACAGAAGGAAGGTTTCCAGTCAGGGATGGAGATGGGAGCGGAGAAGATCCATTCCAACATAGATCTCAATGAGAATGCCACACAGCATTTACATTACAGTATATGGGGTCTCATGTCTAAGCAGCACATTGATACAAAATTCGTATCACCAAAGAATAAAAAATATTTCAAACATCTTGAGGGCCAGTCATCTAGAATTTCAGGACATCAAAGTACCCTTTTCTGGCATGATTTGTGGGGGGCAGAATAACGAATGATGTCCTATTCAATAATATCATGTATGAAGGAGCCAAGACTGATAGTTTTTAGCACATTTTTCATTCATGCAGAGGTAAGTAGAATTACAAGTGGTTCAGTTAGGAGATGAATTCAAGACAGCGGCTTTATTAGGGTGTCTGCTTTCTGCCTTTATAATTTGCCTATATGTTTTTAAATGCCAGAAAAAAAAGAAAACTAGAAGGTAAGTTAATATGCAAGTTAGAGTTAGCATGCTAAGAACATCCAGTTCCTCCAAGTCTTGAGATTGCATTGCGTAAAGACAGTACTGGGAAGTACAGGTGATGCTGAAAGATTTGTTCAGATGACAAAAATCTCCAATCTAGTCTGCTCAGTGAAAGAGGCACACTTTCTTATTATTTATATAAATAGCACGTCAGTCACAACTGTTTGAATACAAGCTAAAAAGCAACAGGGACAGTATTTTCACAGACTATTTACCTGTGGTATCTGTAAATGTGTTTGAATATATCACTTATTTGTATATGCTCACCTATAACTGATGTTGTGAGTGAAAAGGGATTAGAGATTTATATTGTACTGTCTATTGTCAAAATAAAGTTAATGAGCAGCATTCAATATTTTGTTTGTAAAACCCAATAATAATAATATGCTGAATTGGGCATAGTAAGAAGAGTCATAATGCTGCTATATAGAGAACTAGGATAGTTTGCACAAGAGATTCCTTTTGCCAGCTATGAGGTTTGTGGGTCTGCTGCCCCTTAAGCTATTTTATCTAGGCAGCAGTACAGTGCTTGCTTTCACCAATTAAAAATGCATGTATACATGCAGTATAATAGTTCTGTCAAAAATACACATGTACACAAATAGGTACATACACATATTTTTTCTTTTAATGGCCTGCCTACCCCTTTTCAAGCTTTAGAAACCTAGCTGCTAACTAATAAGATGCAAAAATCCATACTACTGAAACAACTTATTCCGCTTCCTTCCTCTTCTCAGTTTATTCCTTTTTTATTTGACAGGGCTGCTGCAAGAACTGCAAAAAAACTGGAAATCTTAGAAGAGCAATCTACCTCTCTCTCTCTAGGGGCCACAGAGAGAAGCAAGATAGATTCTGAATATATTCTTGGTTTTGGCCGACTTAGAATGCCAGAAAAACAGCTCCTCTTGAAACTTTTAATATAAATATAAAAGTTAGCTGAATAACTCAAGACAATTCCAGTGAGGTTCAACTCAAGGAGTAGGCAAATCCCTGCAACATGATTTGTTTGTTTTACTTTATTCTAACCTATTCATATGGCCAGTTATAAAATCCTAACTAAACTGATTTGATTCTGAACCCATCAAGGATTAGCTAAATCAATCCAAGGCTACGCTGGGACAATGACAGCAGGAACCACAACAAAATTCTAGTTCCAACAACCTTTTCAGAAAACTACAAACCATTTCAAAGAGTGATTAGACAAATGATTGCACACAATAAATAATATTTTTATTTCACACTGCACAATATCAGTTGGGTCATTTAGAAACTGCTAATAAAGAACAGATGAAAAAGTCATTTTTTAAATAAACACATAATTTAAATTAGAACACAGAAGATGCATGTTATTTTTAACTTCTATTAAATATTTTTGTGACCAATAAAATTAAACAGGAAAGCATTTTATTGCTATTTGTATTGCAAAAGCACTTCTGTACCCTAGTGAAAGATGAGGTCCCACTGCACTTTTCATTCACTGCTTATTGCTGCAAAATAAATTATTAAAAATACTCTAGAAACCTGCTTTGCTTACCTACTATCACCAGCATTTGCCACATACAGCTTCCCCAACAGATACACCACCACAAGGGCTGTGCAGCCTCCAGATATATTATATATAGTCCTCTCTCGTTCAATTTGTAAATCCTAAACAAGAGAGAACAGAGTTAAAAAAAATCTTTGCAATTGGTATTTAGGAAGTATGTATATATTATAGAAATGTTAAGCTAGGAATCTTTTTGGCTTTCTTTCCTCATCATTGTGACTATTCCTGTGTGTTTGCTTGAGAGCGCAAAACGAGGGCAAAGATAAATGGTGCTTAACAACTGGTAGCTGTTGATGGAACTGCAGTGTTTTACATAGACAACAGCACATCACTTGTGGAGGAGTAATCATAATATGAAGAGCTGTCTGTTCTCTAAAGGGGAGGTCAAGATTATGCACCTGTACCCTACAGAAAATGATAACACACCAACACCTTATACCCTAGAAACACAGAAGGATAAGAACTTTTTTTTTTTTTAAAGTTAAACAAAGGAATCTGTTGAGAGAACTTTTCAGAGAGAGACAGTCCTTAGTCGGGACATGAGTAATCCCAGTGACTTCAACGGGACTATGAAGATGTTTAAATTTATGCTCATGTTTACCTACCTTGCTGAACAGAGACAGGTATACTTAAAACAGTTATTTTTGTGTTTAGTTTCATAATTTTGACAGATTCCAATCAACTATAGAAAAAAAGGAGAAAAAAACCCATCTTGCTTAATAGCAAGAGACTCATGAATAGGTTGACCATAATATGTTTAAGGAAATCTGGGACACTGCCCCCCCTCAAATAAGTGGCATTGCTGGAAACAGAGGCAGGCAGGCTGGGGCGCAGTCTGGTGGGGAGGCAGAGCAGCATGGTGCACCACGTAGGCAGGCAGGCACTGCCCACACACCTGGCTTGGCTCTTTCCAAACAGCGGCTAGAGGTGGGCAGTGGGCTGGGCTGGGTACCAATGCAGTCCACCTGCCTTGTTCCCATTCAGCATCAGTAGCATCTGCCCACCCACCTGCCTATCGCACCATGATGCTCTGTCTCCCCTCCAGATTGTGCCGCATGCCCCTGCAATTCTGGGACTTTTGATTTAATTGTCACCAACCCATTGGGATGCTCGAACAGCCTACAAAATCCAAAACTGTCCTAGCCAAACTGGGTCATATGGTCACCCTCCCCATGAATCATATCATCTGCTGACAATCAGGCAAGCCTTGGAATATTACATATTGCCAGAGAAGAACAGAAATCATGATGAAAAAAGGCAAATTAGTTGTTTTCCAAGTACAGCATGCATTTTAAATAAAACTGAATTGTGTAACACAGTGAAGTGATTTTGTCTGCCTCCTAGTTTAGTTCCTAATGTAGCATGCTACAAACAATCCCTCTCTCCTATATACAAATTCCACAGATGATTCAGTCTAATGATGAGTCTTTCCTTATGGGAATCTTTAGACACAGAAACAACAGGGAGGGTTATCTTGCTATCCCAGATGTTGGTAGAGGGTTTGGTTTCGTTTTGTTTTTAATATTGCCTCTATATAAGGAGATGGCATTAACCTGAACAGAGCTTGTTAATATATTGTATTTCAGCTGGTTTCATATGTGCATCAAGAAGCAAACAGCTCACATTCTCCATGCTTTTGGGTTTGGAATCCACACACACACACTTTGGAGCTAAATTCGTCTGAGGAAAATCACTGCAACAAAAGCCATCCATGACAGCTGCAATTTAGTTGAAAATCTGCAGAGATGATACAGCCCAGACACCATTCTTTGTTTCCTACTAATTTAAAAAAAGGGAGGTGTTCTTGGACATCAGAGAGGAAGCACCACTGTTACACAGTTTCAATAGGACTTGGCAGCTATCCCTAGGCAGGTTAAGAGGGTATGTATTGCATTGATAATAGTGTCTGTCACGAATAATAAGATTCTGTGCAGTTCAGTATATATAGGGCCCAATCCCATTTGTTCCAAGAATAAAGTAAACTGGCTGGTGTTGTGGCAGGCACAGCAGATGGAAGCACAGTACTACCCAATGAGGCCATCCTCTGACTAATATCTGAATTGCACTTTGGTTTTTTTCTTACATTTCTACAATATGCTCTTCCAAATCAAAGTTGAGAAAGAAAACTTAAAGGAAATCAAACACTACAGCTCCTTTGGTCAGACATATAATAGACAAGTGTGCATCGGCATTTGTAAGACAATGTTAAGCCCTTCCCATCATTTTCTCATACTTAAAACTGCACAGAGCAGTCCAAGGGGAGCAGAAATTTCTAACCATCAAAATTATTTTAACACACAAATGTTATAGTAGATTTTCAAGGGCACGTCCAAGTCTTCGGAAAAGGCCCCATTCCATCACTGTTGTTGATGATCCTTTGGATAAGAAAACAGGTATTCCGTGTCAGATTTTTATTCACAACTCTCATACATGTTTGGGTGCTGTCAAATAGTGTTTCTTTTCAGAGGACTTGGAGCACATAAGGGGGAAGAGGAGGGATAATTACATAGAACCTGATTTTTGGAGGCACTAAGCACTTGAAGCATCCATTGACTTAAGTTGGAGCTGTGGTCACTAGTTACTTCTAAGAATCTAATCCTCCACTGATGAAGAACATAACAAATGCTGTAAGAAGATAATGAAAGGAGATGGCTATATTTTCACCTTACCAACCATGACATAACCTGTTCAGCCATCTGTACTTGCAGGGCCACCTTCCCTTCAAAGCTCAGTCTTACTACTATGTCTAGCCACAGAATATGCAGTGCTCTGCTTAATTGAAGATGCATGCAATTCATCACCAACCTTAGTAGATGAGGCATTTATAATTTATAAAAGAAATGGCTCTCCTATTTTGCAACATTTGCAAGCAAAGAGAAAAAAAAAATCAAGCCCCACCTACCACTTCCAGTTCTTCTCAAAGCAGAAACCTTAATCCCCAGCAATACTATAGAAAACTGCTTTTGTTAGTATCTGTAGGTTTTGTTCTGCAACTCACATTATTTTAATGGAGAATCCAATGGCTAAATCTTGGTGGGCTACTTGAAAAATACCTCACAGCTTATATTGTGCAGTGAGAGAAGTGTAGAATTCTCCACTGGACAATGCCACTGAAGCACCAACAGGACCAACAGCTGCAAAAGAAAGTCTATGTACAAAAAAAATCCTAAATCCCTTCTCTGGAAAAAATGACTTCAATACAAACTTGTACTTCGCTACCTTGTACATCTTCAACAGTAATAGGTAAACCTGTCATGGGATCTCTGAATCCATCTCACTGAAAGGAAGCTGCCTGTACCCCTTACAGCTGAGCTATGTTGTAAGGAGGATAAACACAGTCTTGTGTTGCTGAACTTCATCCTGCTAAGGAGAAATTCAGGCTCCAGCCTGCAGTTTGAATCTGCATCTTATATGGCTGGTGAAGGTCAGCATAGACATACAGGGCTCATCTGTGGAAGAGATTTCCAGCATTAATGGCATTTCTGCAGTCTGTGATCAGGAAACAGCTGAGCAATCACTCAAGGTTGACAGTTTCAAAAAGATCTTCCATTTTAGGGCATATTGTTGAAAAGTTTTGGATGAGTAACTTGCTGTCTCTCAGTGGCTCAGATATCTGTGATCCTTGTCACACCAACAGGAGATCTGGGTTTGCCATAGCAACTGCAACTAGTTGCACCGGTCAGTGATCTCTTTTTGTCAACAGATGAAGATCTGATGGTGATGTGGATCCAATTCAACCTGTCAGCTCCCTTTCCTATCATTGATCACAGTATATTACTTGGCTTGTTTGTGACACCTAGTGGGGAAGAGATGAAGCTGCTCTCAGTGGCTATGTTTTTTTATTTTTTTTCTTGGAGAAGTCACAGATACTCAGGGATCCGAGTTTCCCATTTCCCATGGAAAAACAGAAAAAATGATGGACTTTGCTGTTTAACTGAGAAAAATGCAGATTTGTCATTTTAACAGAGAAACACGCAGCTTTTGCTCTTTTGCAAAGAGCTGTCTGCAGGCTGGCAGAGTTCCAGCCTGCAAGGGGCTGGGGGGAGTGGGGGGAAGGTGGTCAGGCAGGGGATGCCATGTACATGCACATGGCCACTAGGCAGCCTGGCGAGCAGCTCCCCCAGGTAAGTCTAGCTGGGGAGGGGGGAAGGGGGAGGACAGGAAGTGAGTTGAGCTGCACTGGGGCTGCTGCCCAGCTGGACGGCGAGCAGGGCTTGAGGCTTGGGGCCGGAATACGCAGCCGCAGGGCCCAGGCAGGGAGAGTGACAAAGCTGCGGGTGGCTCATCCGGGGGGTGGGGAAGGGGGGGGAAGCTGGCTCCCCACCACTGCACATGCTCCCAGGGGGCATGTGCCCTCCAGATCTGTGTGCAGGGCAGGCTGCCCGCTGAGGGCTTGGGGTTCCCCACTCTGCTGCCCTCCCTCTAGGGCCTCTGCAACCTGGTAGGCACAGCAAAGCAGAGCAAGGCTGTGTGGGAAAGCTTGTTACAGTCGCTATAAGCCCACGCCACCACCCCCACTGCTCCACGGTGGGCAGGAGGTGTATCAGGGCACATGCCGCCCTGCTCCCCTGGGAACGCACACGGCGGCAGGGAGCTGGCCTCCCCTGCCCAAGCCCACAGCAGGCAGCCCCCACCCCTTGCCCTCCTCCCAGGCTGTGCTCTGCCCATCTTGCCTGTGGGGGTGGGGGAGCTGGGCTCCCCACTTGAGCCACAACAGCTGCCACCTCCTGTGGGCAGCAGGCAGGGCTCAGGCACCTGGGTCCCTGGTCCTGTAACCCTGGCAGCTGGGGGCCCACTCTGGCAGGGCTGGGGAGGCCAGGGGGCTGTGGGTCGGAGGCAAGGGTTGTGGGGGCTGTGGCTTGGGAATGAGGGTCCTGGACTTGTGTCATGATGAGCTATGGGGGCAGGAGGGGCTCTGATTTTCCATGATAAAACAGCCAAAATCAAATACCAAAATTTATAGGCATTTAGAATGTATATTACTACACTGATTGAGGCACTGGCAGGCTTTTAAATTGCTTTAAACTTGTAAATATAACAGTAAAACATTGTGTTCAATTGATACACACACACACACACTTCATTTTAATCACAGATTTTG